CTAGTCTAACCCCCTGCACAGAAAAATGATGTCCTGTTCCTAAGCCATACCAAACGTACATATTTTCTGAAAACCACAACTTCCCTAGGCACATTTCCAGACCCATTTCGTAGTCACTTCCTGTAACTTCATTTGTGTCAAAGGTCACGTGACATCACTTCCTGATGTGATACCACTTCCTGTGAAATCTTTGAATATGGCTCACCGGCCCACTGGGTGATAGAAAGTTCATGATCTGGCCCCACATTCAAAAAGGTTGGACACCCCTACTCTACCAGGTGCTCCCTGCCTTGCAACTGAGGTCACAAACAATGTAACTAACAGGAATACTGCCACCAGCTGCAAGTTGTTCACATCAGTGAAAAAAAATACCTCTCTTTCCATTCTACCTTTTAGTTTAATTGTGACATGCCAACAAACATCCTCTGACAACAGGTAATTCCTAGTTTGGGATATATCTTTTTGTTAGACTTAAACTCATAAGCCACTCACATTTTTCAGGGATTACTTGGACACTTCAGCCCATCCTTTCCAACAGACGAAATCTATTTATATTTAATTCAAGATTTTGGAAGTAGGGATGGGAGGTGACCAGGACTGAAGAAACAGTCAAGGCTGTTGGCTATGTACAGATGAAAATCTGGAAATGGGGGTACACAGTGAAATCTCCTAGCTGGCAGATGATATCAAGTTATTCTGGACAGTCAAATCCCAAGCTGACAGAGAGAAGCTGCAGAAAGATCTCACCTAGGTAAATAGGTGGGCAAAAAATAAAATGGCAAATGAACTTCAGTGTCTACAAGTGCAAGGTAAAGCACACAGGGGAAAAACAAATCTCAACTATATGTACAAAATGCTGCACTCTGAACTAGTTGTTACAACTCGGGAAAGAGACCTCAGAATTACTGTAGACCAGGGGTTGGCAACATTTTTGAGTAGAATGCCAAAAATGCCCACAACTTCGATTTGTGAGATGTTGATGTAAGAGAGCCATGAGGGGCCTGATCCCTGCTGTGGCAGTGCAGCTCCAGTACTTTCCCTGCTGTCTGCCCTGAGGTGCGCACACCAAGCAAAATGTCAGTGCGCCACACTCTGGCACCTGTGCACCCCCCCACACTGTAGACAGTTCTGTAATATCAGCTCAGTGTGCAGCAGTGACCCAAAAAGCCAATAAAATGTTGGAAATCATTAAGAAGGGAATTGAAAACAAAATGGGGAGCATCATCATGCCATCATATAAATCCATGACACATTCACATCTTGAATACTCTGTGCAGTTCTGATCTCTACATCACAAGAGGGATGTAGTAGAATTGGAAGGACAACCACAGTTATCAGGGAGATGGAGCAACTGCCTTATCAGGAAAGACTAAAAAGGCTAGGTCTCTAGCTTGGAAAGGAGGCAGCAGAGGGGGGATATGACAGATATATAGGATCATGTAGGGTATGGACAAAGTGAATAGGGAACTGTCATTCACCAAGTCCCCAAATGCTAGAACTAGGAGGCATCCACAGAAACCATCATAAACAGGTTTAAAATTAACAAGTGGAAGTACTTTTTAATACAATGCAGAGTTAACTTGTGGAATTCTTTGCCACAGGAGGGGAGAGAGACAGACAGCATAGTCAAGTTCAGAAAGACCAGACAAATTTATGGATGACAGCTGTATTAATAGGCATTGACCAGAATGGTTAGAGATTTTTTCCTGGTATCCGTAAGCCAATACTGCTCTCCCTCTAAAGCATCTATCCCTGTCACTGTTGGAGACAGGATACTGGGCTAGATGGATCATGGTCTGACCCAGTATGTCACTTCTTATATTATTATGAGTTGTTTTCCCTGCAAGGGATTCAGTTCCCCACCTTAAGCATGTTTTGAGAAGCCCCTTCCCTCTACCTCCTTCTAGTGTGTTAAAGCTTCACAACATTTTCCCTTGACTTTCATACCCTCAGCACTGGGATAGGTGCTTGTGGACAGGGGAGAGCTAGAAGAAAAATGTTTTACCCAACTTACTTTGTTAATGATATTATCTTCCAGAAAACTGCTCTGTGTTTTACAGACTGTTAAAGTAGGGACTACTGACCCCCAACAACTAGAATACAACCATCTCTGAGATAGACCACAACAGCTATTTTAACATTTACAGAGCAATCCTACATAGCATTTTCTAATATTTTATTATGTGACAGAAGAATAATTCCCTCACATAAGCTCCAAAGGCAATATTAAATAAGTACTAGTAGACAGAACCTGACCAAGAGATTAAGTGCCTAACTTGAGCAAGATGTAAAATAGAATTTGAAAGAAGATTCCAAGCCTCCCTTCACCAATAGTGGCAGAGGAACAGTGTAACAAAGTTTCTACTGGAGGTGTCAAATTTCTAGTAAGCAGAAATTGCTGAAGCAAATTCCTTCGTGAACACGCTTCACTTCATTTAAATCTGTTTACTACTGCTTCAGCATTAGGATGACCATATGGGACCATGGGAAGTCTGGGACACTCTCCCTCACCCTCCTAATTCAGCAGCGCTGCTGGACACAGAGGCAGAGCAACATGATGCACCAGGCAGGCAGGCAGCAGTGGTGAATGCCCACCTGGCACACCATGCTGCTTTGCCATACTGCGCCCCTGCAATTTCAGAACTCTCATTTTAATTTTCACCAACTGGCCAGGACTGGCCTTTGAAATCTGGGACCATCCCAGCCAAACTGGGGTGTATGGCCATGCTATTCAGTGTCCACCTGAAAATTTAAAGGCAAGAGATAAGCCAATACCCTATGTTCCACATCACAATAACACTGCCCATAAATGTATTGGAATAATTTTAGTTAAGCTGGTGCAGTACATGAAGAAATGAAAGCAAAGAGAAGAATCTGTTCAGGACCACAGAGTATGGCGACAGCCAACTGCTGCTCAGGAACTAGTGATTTGCAATGTTATGCACTGTCCCCTGTGCTTTAGATTACCAGGCCTTAGTTTTACAGCTCAGGAGTACGTCTCACTACAGAAGTTGGAAGAGCAGCAGTTCTAGTTAACCGCAGGCTCTTTAGCATCCCACTGGTTTAGCCAATAAGCATCTAACCTTGCTTTAGCACATAAGCAGGCTTGGCAAGTGTCTGTTTTAGAATGAAAGCAGCTGCTCTATCTTCACCCTCCCACCTAGACCCTGGAAAAACAGATACAGCTGGAAGATGTACATGTGCCAAAGCTGGGTGCAGCAAGTGAGGAGCAGAAAAGAGAGAAAACAAAAGAACTGAGTATCTTCCAAAAAAAAAACAAACCCAAAACTTCGGCAGCCTGGAGCCAGTCATTGGATAGGCACAGTACAGAGAGCCAGATGGGCACAGGACAGTCTTGCAGCAGGGACTCAGCTTGCAGACAGGCATGATGATAACAGAGGACTGAGAAATCCTCAAGTCCAGTAGCCTGTTAATTATAAATATCTGAATAGAAGTGTCCCAACAGGGGAGGAGGAGAAGGAGTTTGAAATATTCATGCCTCAAGGAGCAGATGGTTCTTCTTTTCTATGGGGCTCCATAAATCACATACAAACACCTTGCACAAAATATTACCAACAGAACTGCTCCTTGGCAGTCAGATGAGGCCAGAACAGCTATTAGCAGCTGTACCTCTTTTCAAAACACATTAAAGCCCGTGGAGAATCCCAAAAGGATTTAAACCAACAAAGTTTATTTTCCCCAATCTCAGCTTTTCCTTCTGATCCCTCTGCCAAGACTTGCGACTAATAGTGGGAACATTTCCTGTGGTCAACAATCTGTCCTTGGGCACAGTTCTGCTCTTCAGACTAAACCCCCAGATTAGCATGACAAATTAGTCCAACTGCTGGCCCGGTACCTGGTAACACACTGCAGCAGCACGGACACAACGGCATCTAGTAATGCCCACAACTCCTCAAGGCTACTAGCTGCTCCTTCTCCAGAGATGCAATGCTTCTTGAGGACAAATAAGATACTATTTAAATTAGCTCTTCTAGACAATATGAAGGGGCAACTTCTAGAAACAGCTTTTTTCATGTCCTACAGAGCTGGCTAACTCTTTGAAATATTACCTCAAAATGACCTGAGGGTGGGGATTGGAAGAGAGAAAAGAGGTAGGGTAACCCTGCTCTTAAGCTTTGGCAGTCTTATGCACTACAGATACAAATATAGCATTCAAAGAGTGCTCAGGTTGCTGAAGGTTGCAGTCTACAGTCAAGGAATACACTGCAACTCCGTTATATTATGGAGAGAACTAGGGCAAAGAAAGATTCAGTAATACTGACCTCATCCTATACCCATAGCCAAGCAGTTTAGGTGCAACTCCATTTGAGATGATCCCGATCGCCATCACTCCTGACAGCAGTTGGATGTCACAGCTACAAGCCCAGTCTTTTGGCCAGTATTGTAACCAAGGTGGCCATGGCCCAAATCTCAAGAAAATCCCAGGCCCGGTTTTTGCCAATGAGAATTCAATACCTTTGAAGATCTATAATCAAGTCCAGTAAAGTGATACCAGCATGCCCCCCAGCCAGCCCTTCTACATCCTATTTGCCAGATTAGGTATTATAAGTACTGCTTCAATCAGTGGACACTCCCATAAAAACTGATCCTTGCAAGTGTTTTTAAGCAGACAATAAGCAGTGCATAAGTAAAATAGAGAAATGAGTTCAACTCAGCTCCACACAAGCCTCTCCTTAGGCTAATTATTTTAAGGTTTCCACTGATGTGAGAGTATGCCAGGCAATTCCAAGCTTCTTGAGAAAAAGACTCTGGTTGGTGAGGATCTGAACAGAGGGGCTAGTTACCTTTACCACTTACCATTGCTGATTTCAGGCAGGTCAAACTTGGTGAAGTCCCACCACTGGAGCCGGTAGGTGGTGTTGGCAATGTTACTGGCCACAGCAGACTGTCCGTCTCCAATCACAGCCCCTAAGCAAAGGGAGAAAATAATTAGACAACCTGACCTCAGGTTATGTTCCCTAGCACATCATCCAAAAAAACCACAGGGCAAGAGACAAATCAATAAGAAAAATGTTCTGCGTTCAGTATACAAAACCTTCTGGGTTCCTAAGCAAAAGTAACTGAGCAACATTTAACAAAAAATGGCAACACCTCACAAATAAACCACAGAGGACAGGGAATTGAGAAAGCATAACATCTTGGAACACATTATGAGGAAGGAGGGAAGGACTACAAGAGGGTAAAGAGAAAACATGCCAACACAAAGGTAGAACCATCTTTGTTTGTTGCAAGTGTATCTTTTATTGGCAACACCCACCAGGTACATCAGACCTGCCCAATTCTCTTATGCAATTATAAAGCCAGGCCACTCCATACTAAGAAACAAAGTTTTGGCCTTTAAAATGGTTCCCTTGGATAATTAATTTGTTCCTATATTAACAGCCACACAGGTTGGGAATATTCCCTGTTCCCACTCTACCTTCCACCCTTGGAGGAGACTGGGTGCCTGCAATATCTGCTCTACTTAGCAGGCCATATTTTCAAATGAAAGTGAGAACCCAGACTCTGATCTGATCCTTAAGAGAGCAGAAGTCACAAGGAACAGAACAAGGATATTTTGTTCCAAGCAATCACAGCTGCAAACACATCCGATACATTTGTTTTAATTTTTGCCCTTGCCTTCCCTGTACCATGTCTGCATGATGTAGGGAAAAGCTCTTTAGGACAGAAACCCTCTAAAGCACAGTATAAAGTTACCATCTATACATACTGCTTCTTACCCTGACATGGAGGTAAAAACTTGACAACCAACTAGTACCCAACTGATGCATGTTTTGTTTTGAGTTCCTTAAAGTAACAGGACAGTACTCCACAAAAGAGGTGCTCATAAAATCATGAATGACTTATAGAAAAAGTTACGTAAATGCAGCCAGAGCACTGAGAGAAATTCAGGAACCCTTCCATTTCTTAATTTTCCCTGATCTCCAGATGGCAAGAAAACAGGACATTCAAAACAGCTACCCATTTGCTTCTCTTTTCTCTGCCACTATTCTGGCTGGCCATACCCCACTGTCATGGGGGCAGGCAGAAACTCAGATTGTCCTAATTCAGCCATTCCTAACTTAAAAAAAAGTCCCAAGATTCAAAAAACAGCACACAGCACAAAGAGAAAGTGTCCCCTGGAAATGTATGCAAAGGAAATCGAGGGCAAAAATAAAGTTATAAAGTGCATCAGGGTTTCATCAAAAATAAATAACAATTAGTGCCTCAAGTTGGCATGGCTATGGCACAGCTCAGACACCACTGTGCACAGGCCCTTGGAAAATGGAAAGGGATGAGAAGGAATGTTCACCAGGCAATAATGCACAATACTTTGGAGAATGGGAAGAACCAGAGATACTCTAGTACAGACAATGCCTTGATAGCTTTACATGCAAGCAGTCCTTGTGCTGTACACATACATACATGCACACAAAAGTGCAAGGCAAGAACATAGTCATACAAAGAAATCAAGCCAAATGAATGAAAGAGTAAGATTCCAGACTTCAGGGGAGTTAGTCTTTGCTGGAGGGTCCCTCAAGACTGTTACCAAGATAGAATAAATAGAATCATAGAAAAACAGGGCTGGAAGGGAACTTGGAGGGTCATCTAGTCCAGCCCCTGCTCAAAGCAGGAACACATGAGACTGTCAGTAGATGAGTTCTTCCAGCACAGCCGTAGAGGGTACCGCACCAGCAGTATTGCAAAAGATGGAATTTCTTGGACAGTTCCACTTCTAATATGTGCCAGACAGACCAAATGCTCTGGCAGGTGGCTAGGAGCTTGTTATGCACCAGTAGGCACAATGGCAAGCAAGGTGAGCTGACCAAGATGCCTCAATTCTTTCCTTCTTCCTTTGCTCCCCCCACCTGATTAACTCCTAACAGAAAGCTTCTTAAAGACAGGGTTTAAAAACACATCGAACACAGCTTACACTCTGTCTACAAATGAAAGTGGGAACAAGACAGAAAAGCAAACTCAAGAACAAGTCTGAGGAACGAAGTGGAAGACTGAAAAGCAGCTGCTGGCCTCATTCTCATAGATAGGCTGTCTTAAGTCCTGGTTCTTGGTTCCTCCGAAAGCTCAGACAATACACCCAGGGCAAGATTGGGCAGTCAGAGCTTTAGCATATATACTTGGTTGTGCCAGGCTTCCAGCAACTGACAGCCCCATATTGTGCTCTGCTTGGTCTCTCTACGTCTCTTTCAGACACTCACATATCACATGGAGAGCAGAATTAAGAACATTTTCCATTGCTGTACATCTGCCCAGGGCCTTTCCTCTAAGCCCCCACCTCTCCATGCACAGGGCTCCTCAGAGACCAAGACTATACTGAAGAACACAAATGATGGGATTCAGTATTAATGAAACTATTCTACACCCAGGATTAATACAAAATGCTGGGGAAGTGAAAAGGAGATGTGTTGTCAGAAGGAAGCTTACTCTCTTACACAAAAGAGCAGCAAGTTCTACTCTCAAGTCTGCCTTTGCACAAAGCTGCAGTCTGTTTACCATGCCTCCCACCTTCCCCCCCCCTCCCAGAACAAGGGGAGAAGAAAAAGGGAAGTGTGGAAAAACATAATTGATGGAGCTGACAGGGTGGGAAAAGTAATGAACACCATCCTCACTGGTTGCAATAACTGTCCTACAGAACTGGGTCAGAGCAGGGTTTCTCAGCTAAGCAGATACTCAGCAAGGAAAGGGGACAAGAATTTTCCAAGCAGGGCACTTACACCTGGACTATCCAATTTAGCACAGTAAGAGCCTTTCCTGGTCTGTGAGAAGAATGACTATTATGGGAGGAGGAAGCAGTATCCACCCTTCAGTTCCAAAAGGGAAGGCTAGCAAGCTCCCCAATAATACCATGAGCAAACACATCTCCTTCTAAATCCATGTACCACTCCATCTGAAAGAGAGGACGCTTCTATCCCTGCAGGCCCCACCTGTCATCTATACATGCCTAAATTCATGTATCAGAGAACACTGGACCACCAACACGTGGGAAAACTCAGTGCCACCCTGTTTCAGCATGTCAGCACCCTGTGCTCCAACAGGCCTATGTTTGTGGAGCACCCAAGTAACCCACCCATATTCAGAGCTGTCTGTGAGTAAAGAACAATGCCATGCTGCTCATCTCTTGTACCTGCTTCCACATTAAACACAAATAGTTTGCAACACAAAACTCCTATGGTAGGTAGGGGAGTGTTAATCTGTGCTGCTGGTAAGTCAGGCAACAAACTAGTGGCTGAGCCAGCAATTAAGCTCCAGAAGCTATGCTGTCAGTCCCCTACTATGAATAGGGCAGAGAGGAAAGAGGGGACTTCACTCCCTTCTCCAAGTGCCAGACTTTTGGAACTCCAGAGCAAGCACTGAAAAAGGGGAAAGTGAGGAAACTGAACCACCTGAAAACCCCAATTCGAGGGCTTAAGCTCTTGCTGCAACCAGTCTTTCAGGTTTGCTTACAAACTGACCTGTGTCTACCCAAACCACTTGGCTCCTAACTGCATTTTTTATAGTCAACTTTTCTGTTCTACAGAGGCCTGCAAACTTACATCCCGACCTAGTGGGGTAGGAACATCTCTCATAGAACCTTCTCTTTAGTGCCCTGTTCTCCCACACACGCATGCCTCTATCCAGGCAAGCTCCCCGGGACTTACCACCTCAGCAGCCTTTCCCAACACCCCCACTTCACTGTCTTAGCAAGGCTGTCTTCCCTGGTTCATGCTCTTGGCCAGAACACCCAAAGCTCTATACAAGAGAATCCCTTCCCACAGTGATCAAGGGCTGGCTGGAAACCAGCTTCTGGATTTGAAGATGCTCAATCTCTATTCCATATTCTTAAATTTGTTGCCTGTTCTTTGTGCCTTCCTGGGCCTTACTGCCACTAACCAGTCATTGCCTCATTAGTGAAAAGTATGACATGACAATCTGTCTGACAGTTGTATCTATTGCCATGAACACCATCAGGTGAAAGCGATTAGTAAATATTTTATGAAATTTTCCACCAGACTTTCTGCACCCTTTCAGACCAGCAACAGTAGTCCTTCTCATTCTATTCTCCAGACCCTCTATTACAAGGGTGAAAAATGAGCTCTTCCTTTGTTCTTGCTATTAAGATGCCACTTTGCCCATTCACTCCAGTGGCAGCCCGTTCCAAGAACAGATAGCAGGCAGAAGGTAACACAACAGATGGATGTCACTTCCTCAGGTCCAACCAGAAAGTGACAACCCAATGCAAAAAAGCAGGACAAAGGGACCAAACACACATAGTCAGATGTGCATGGAAGTCCATGGTCAAAAAGCTTTAGGCCACTTCTCACAGGATCCAAACCCGTTCACCCTGCAATAGTGCCTACTCTGTAATTTACATGCTTTCATTAAGTAATTACCTGCACTTATACTACTAATTATGTAATTGAGAAGTGTAATTATTAAATTAGATCTTGTTACACGTAACAAATGTCACTCCATTTGGTTTCACAAACCCAGCCAGAAAATTCACATACACAAGCACCATCCTAAACAAAGGACAAGAGTGAGGAAGCGAAATCTTGGACGCTCAGATAAGGGAAGACAATATAGCTTATATTTCCCAATATACAGGGGCAACATAGTGCTGCCTTATCTTTTTCAATTCATCAATCCAACGGAAGGTAGAAAAATGTTTGAACCCAGGGCAAGTGAACTTAAGCAGCGAGCAAAAAAACTGTACTCCTCCTACTCAGCAATTACCACTTGTAAAGCAGTCTCGCTGGTACTGCTGGCTTTGCTGAGCTAGGGTTTTAGCTCAGGTATGAACCCTGGAAGGTACTGTCGTCTCCTAAGCTCCACTGCAGCCTGCAGGCAGAGAACACTTCAGTTTCTTAAGTCTGGACCACAGAAGATCAGCCTTTACAGGGATCCATTGTTAGCAATCACTTGACAGATGG